CATATTTGCAAGAAGAGAGATCAGTACCCTGTTCTCCTTTTGTCTGTAAATCTTATTAATCAAGGATCTATTTTTTCCCTTGGTTTCCATCATATTTAGTTAAGAAAATTTATGCCAAAGCAGTGTTGGAAAAGGAGTGTTTCAAATAAAGAAGTGCTTCTCAAAATCACATGAGGAAACCCATTAATCCAAAGAGTTACTGAATGAGTTAGCATTCAGTTTCGAAAGGGATGTGTCAGATGTAAAACAAAAGATTGAACTGAGCACAACATAGTTATGTGGTAATGCTGAATATTTCACTGTTTTTCACTGTGCTGAAATACAACAATAAGTTAAAATTACACACATTTTTTAAACACAATTGAGAGATTGCGCTGAATTGCAAAAGCCTAAATTTTGGTATAAAGCAATTAAAAATTTCTGATGAAAACAACATTTGTTGCAAAGGTTTGATCTTGGATAATGTATTAACTAACTGGGAATCAACAAATTACTAAACTTTGCATACTTGTCCTGTTTCTTGTTGCTTAATTGCAGGCTAGTTTCTCTGCAGTTTTGGAAGAGATGGCTTCTCTCTCCCCTGCTTCCTGTTTAATTTCACATGGCTTCACCTACACTTCATTGAGACCTGGACCCAATCTTGTATCACAGGACCCGTTTAAGGATGAGAAGCAGAATTAACAGAATCACCATTTTTTCTTGCTCTGGGGAGCCAGAGAAATGTTCTCAGCGTTCTCTGCTGTGCAAGGAGTAAAGTCAAGCCCTTCTAATCTTCCTGAATGTGGCAGAAACTCCTTTGCTATAGGATTTCCTGCTATGTAATTGAAATGTTTGCCTCAGATGAGGAATTTACTTCCACCAGGCACCAATCTATCCTTACATGCCAGACTGGCAGCTTCCTTTGTTGTTTTGAAGAGGCTGGAAATTCTTTCAGGAATTCTTTCAGACCTGTGGGACTAAGCCTACTATTTATTTACTTTCAATTGTATCTTTGTGGGATACTGAAGGATGAACAATGCCATTTCAAGAGCCCAATTCTCATTCTTCTTTTCTTCATTATTTCTTACATGCTGCCAAGTCATAATTGTGACCCTCTTGCAATAGGTGTTCCTTAAACATTTACACAGCCCCTCTCCAAAGAACTTGTAATTTAGCACAAAGAGGCAGTCAAGGCAAGATTAAAGGAAAAAAACTCAGAAGCCAGTCACTTGGATGGAGTTGATATTCACGATGTCAGGCACACCAACTGTTTGCTGAGGTGTTTTCAATTCCTCTTACAAACTTCTTGCAGACTCCATATTAATGGTGAAAATCACCATATTCACATGTATATCAATTTTTTTTATTTCCTTCTCCCACACAGAATCCATTGGCAGATACTTATGCATACCGCAGAGATCACAGTGAATTAAATAATATGGATAAATAAACCAAAAATTCAACCTATTTTAAAGAGGGCTTCATCTAACGTCCTGTCAGAAGATTCATTCCCTCCCTTCAGCACACATAATCAGGGCAATCTTGACTGAATGCACAGGGATCAAAACCCTAAACATTTCTTGCTGCTGTGTTACAAAAGGTTTATTCTGTCCAAGTTCTGTGACCTCCTTTGGCATCTCCAGTGAAACATGGCAGATCCCAGCTGGCTGAGTTAGATAGGCCATGATGCAGATGCAAGTGACAGACATAATTTTTCAGCCTTTCTCAGAAGAAGTGGCCATGGAGGGCAAGCAGAGACTAGTGGGGTATGAAGAACTAAAGCTTCAAAACTTTTGGAGAAGGCTTGGAGGAGACCTTATTGAGGCCTCTCATTGTATATAGGAGGCTTAGAAGAAAGATGAAGGAGATGGTTTACCAAGACCTGTAGTGGCAGGACAAGGGGAAATGGTTTTTAACTGGAAAAGGGTAGGTTTAGTTTGGACATAAGGAAGCTGGTTTTTACATCTGACAGTGGTGAGATACTGGAACAGGTTGTGCAGAGAACTTGTGGATGTCAAATTATTGGAAATATTCAAACTAAAGAGGGATAGGACTTTAAGTAACCTGGTCTAGTGGAAGGTGTCCTTGCTCATGGCAGGAGGGTTGGACTAAATGGTCATTAAAGGTTCCTTCCAATCAGGAGCATCCTGTGATTGTATTAGCATATCCATTCATAAATGTTCATCTTGAGGCTCAGTGACCTCAACATCAGCATGTGATGGACATTGATCACAGGGATATGGCCCCCAATGGATGCATAGGAAGAACACTAAGTTTTGTTGCTACCAGCATGGTTCCTTATCTGTAGAGCCGGGCAGCTTTCAACTTCTGGTTTTGGGCTTTTCAAGGTGGATCTCAAAGGTGTCTGTGGACTATGTCTTGTTCTGTAGAGCAGCCACTGCCAGTCACAGGAGCTTTGCAGTGCACATTAGAAAGCATGTTAGATGTGGGGAGAGACAATTTAACTTCTCATATTTCAGAAATAAAATTTTTACTGTTTCTTTTTCTTTTACTTTTAGAACAAGATAAGTGCTAAGGTTTTTACTCTACCACCTCATAAACATCAAGTAATTCTCAAAACTGTGTTAGAAGAAACAATTCAGAATGAACATGGGACAGTAAATAATAGGTTTTAAATCAAGCCAACTTTATTCCCATCTGTAGAAGACAGAGTAGACAAGCAGAGAGATGGACAAGTAATACCTTAACAGTGACACATTCACAAATATTCCTAGAAATATAGAAATTGAAGGAGTGTTATAAGTATGCTGTTAAAAATGCTGGAATGCCTGCTCGTTTCTTGACACTGTATGTCTGTTTTTTGTATTAAGGGGTTCAGAAACATTGTTTATGGATATTGCATGACCATGAATGCCAAAAATAATAATCCTATTAAGTTTAGTCCAAATAGCATGTAATGAGATTCAAAATGATATGTTAAATACACATTCTAATAATGAAACTCAAATTGCTTTACAAATAGCATCGGAGAACATTAGCCTATTTTGATTCTAATAATTACTTGCATCCTGTGTTCCAAATCTATTCAATATGCTTTGTGTAAGAACAAATATTTTTTCTACTAATTGTTCTGTAATTCTCTTGGTTATTTTTAAAAGGCTAAAGGGCTACACAAGACCAGCAGTTGTCTGTTAGAATAAGATCTGGTTGTTTTTTTTACTTTAATCATCTTACAGAATTTGAAGAAATTAGGTTCTCTAATACCTCTGTCTTTTGTCCAGATTTCAGTTGTCTGTGTTTTGTATACTATCATTAAACCACTTTTCAAGTGTATCTTTGCCAGACTAAACATAATTTTTCCTCGTAGAACATTCCATCCAAACCACATACAACCACTGTAGCCCTTTCTGGATTGTCCTAAGATGTAGATTGTTGATTTTTAGGCTAGGCATTATTTCTAGTTTGCATATTAATTCTTAACTATTAATATATTATGATTGTATCATATTGTAGTTAAAAAGGAGATATCAATACATTTTTGACTGCAGAAAAATGTAAACTATCTATAAAGAAACCATATGGTTTAAATGTTTCAAAATATTGTTTTAAATAGAAAGTGAACAACGGGAAAGGAGCTCAGCTTTCGTTCACTTCTGGCTTCACAATGAAACAGACTGGGATCTCAGTGGGCATTAGAAATGGACCAGAATTGTATAAATGCTACTTTATCCACCCCTTGAAATATTTATTCAGGTTTCTCTCCTTAAGTCTTTTACAGATGTGAAGTCGATTAGTCTTCAGTCTCACTGCCACAATCTGAAAGACCCAGTGTGTGGCCTCCAACACATGGAAAGATGACCAATGTGCAAGATGCACAGGGGACTTTTCAGATCTGAAGCCAACAGTCTGAAAAATAATGTACCCAGGGAAAGTGTGTCTTCTTTCCACTGACAGTGAGATCAGATTCATGGAGAAGCTAAACATTCAAGTTAGATATCAAGACAAAACTCAAGCAGACAGAACACCATTGTCTTCATTTTCCGCAACAGTGTATTTGTACTTTGTTCTTTTAAAAAGTACTTTAATTATGTTTTGTACCATCCAAACAAATAGAGAGCGTCTGAAGACCACTGTTATATCATAACTTTTTGATAACTTCATCCCTTTCTGATTTCCCTGTGTTCTACTTAAAGAAGGAGAGGAGAAACAGTCAGATAGTAATAATGCCCACTTGCAATATCCTGGCCTTAAAAATATCCTGTGTTTGAATGGCAATTCCTTTTTCTCTTAGCTGAGTTGCGTGTAATTCTTTTCACATATATGGAGTAGTCCTGGGTATTGAGTACAGCTGGGATTTCTGAATACAAATTCAACCTGACTGCATGCCATTGAAACAGAACTCAGTTGCTTGGAGAGTCTATTGGAGAATTCCTTAAGTCTCATTAATCACGTATGTGGTGACACTGGAGGGGGCTCTTTACTTTTTTATTCCTCATTTGTCTCTGATATTCCCTGTTTATTACAAAATCCCTTCCTTTGCTGGATTTATAATGTGGCTATTTTCCAATACAGTTGTATCCTTTCACTCCCAAGCGGAGCCACCCATGTGTGAGAGCTGGGAACCTGGAGCTTTTTGATGAATATCCTTACTCGCCACAGAGCACAGAGACCATGACAGGCCTTGGAGATGCTTGATGGTGTGGCCCACCAGGAAGATGACAATTACAGATGGAGCTTGCTGATGCTGCTTGCACAATCTGATTACAGTTCCCTATGCAGCAGAATGTGTCTGTCCCTTCGCTGTTCTTATCTAAGAAATTAGTATTTATTTTTTTTTATGACATATGCATGTCTAATTAGGATATTTATGAATTAATCCTATTTTCAGCATAGTTTCTGTCTTTTAACATTGATGCTGACATGAAAATTTGCAAAGCTATTTAGGTACCGAGATGTCTTTGAGGCTATGATTGCCTTATGGCATCCAGCTGCCGATCCCTTGAACAAATCATCTTTCCCATTTCCAATTTTCTCATGCCTTCTCTTGCTCTCTTATCCAGATTCCTCTCTTGATCTGTATAGTGGTACATTGTGACCACATTCTTTGAAGATCAGTTGTTCCAGTGTTCCAATCAACTTTTTACACAAAGGTAAGATGCTAGTTAATGGAATGGATTTGCAGAGGGGTTTCTCCTTGTGTTGTCAGTGTGGCAATAGAAAACACTCCAGAGGTCTGCAGTGCATGCTATTGATACTGCACAGTCACAGCTCCGAAACTCCACTTGATTCTATGTGCAGAGGACAAATTTTCAAATACACATGAAAAATGTCACTTTTTTTTGTGTCATACCTTATTTGTCCATAGACATGAGAGCTGAGCATGAAACCATAACTTTCTGTTAGGAGGCACCTAATGTTCTTTTCCTTGTAAGCTCATAGCAAACATTATTTGTTTGGAAAAATGTGACCTTTCAGATGAAAAACTATGTGAGGGTATAGGGACCAAGTAAAAGTTGCAGATATGTAAAAACTTACTAACCTTGGAGAAAGGAAGCACTAAAGAGGAATTTTAGTTATTTTTTAAAACATGCACTGACATCTATGCAGCATATGGAATATCTAAGTATTACTCATAAAATCACCCACACAAATAAATTTCTAACAGCATTCATGGAGCCTGACACCTTTTTGCCCTCATTCCAAACAATACTTAGATGGTGTTTCTTCTCTTCTTTTGATACGGCTAATTCCCATTCTGGTTTTGTGGTAGGAATTTGACATAAAAGAAACTACCACTGCAGTGATTTCTATTAATTGCCATGTTAAGTAACTTGATGCTAAGAGCTACCATAGGTGTTAACAAAAAATTGCTTCCAGAACATAAATGTGTGCTGGCAGCAGAATTTAACCTCAGGCTGTAAGAGTAACACTGAGACATGAGGAGGCTGAAGTGGAGCTCTGCCAGATTTCCCTGTGCAGATTACGCAGGTGTTTCCCTAAAAAGGCAAAGTCGATAATAGATACTATGGCAATTTATTTCCTCCAAATGATAGCACAGGCAAGCAGACTTTTTGGCATGAGTTTTGACCAGGAAATAATTGTGATCTCCTCAGTATTATTTAAATACATTTTTTATAGAAAGCATAAGGAAATTTATGTTAAAATATATCGTGTGTCAAAATCTCTGTATTTGATAAATGAAAAATGTTGGTGGCTGTTCCCATAATGCTTTTTGAATTATAAATATGGGCAAGAATCAAGAAAATGGAAAAGAGAAATACTTCAAAATGAAAACATTTGAAATAGAGAAGATTTCTCTTTTTTTAGCAGCTCTACTTGGCAATTTCAGGAAGAGTTTCTTAAAACGTAATCTGATGACTCTGCACCCTGGGATGGAAGATTACCTTCTACTGCCTCAGTTGTCAGGCTTAGTCCAAACAAATACAGGGCTGTCCCACATGTCCTTAGTTACAGCAGTTTCATCTCCAAAGACACCAGCTGAAGTCACGCCTTGGTAGAGAGCAGAAGTGTAACCTATAGGGTGGCTTCTTCTCTCATTTGTAATGGTATAAATGAGCTAAAAGCAATGGAAGCCTGATTCAGAAATGGTAGAAAGTGGGAGCTGGGCTTCTAGATTCGACCCTCCCCAAAAACCCATCATATTCATAGCAGAACCAGATAACTCAAAGTTCAGATTCACTTTGCAATGACAGGAGCTCAGTCCTGGAGAGACAGACCACAGGGTGATATTTGAGAGCACGGTAAAACAGGTGAGATCGGCAGCTGAGAGACCCAAGTGAGTGTGGATGTGGCCCTGGCTGAAGTTAAACTTCACTCAGTCTGCTCACCCCCTCACCCACCCACTCAGCTGCCACACAGACACAACAGACCCCTCAGCCCACTCCAGTTGCCTTTATTGAGCAGGCAGGATGCAGTTCAAACCCCACTGTAATCACTGAGAAGGCTCCCATTTATTTGTGAGCTACAGGATGAGGAATACAGAAATGGTTTGCTTTGGGAAACAGCATTATTGCATGAAGGTATCTTGGAGTGAACCAGAAAAACCAGTCTCACAGCAGGGATGTTTGAGTGGGATCTTTCTCTGCACATCTTCATCTATTCCCTCCCCACCCTGCCATATATGTACTGTAGAATACAACTGAACTCAGTTTTGAAAGCTTAGGAATATTGTGAGAAACATTAGTCTTGGAACAACATATGTATGTGTTGAAGGATGAGAACAACTGTGTTCCAGTGTAGGGTGGTTAAGGGGGCTCCAATCACATTTAGATTAAGGCCACGTTTAACCTCAGCTGATGAACTTGATGAGCATTTTATTCCTGTTTGCCAAAACTAAAAGCTGAAATGGCAGACAACTGAGGGAAAAGAGGAAAATTGTCACATTTACAATGTTAATCTATGTGGGGTATTAATGAATAAGGTTAAAAATTGAGGGGCTATTTTAGTAAAAAACATAGATTGAATATTGACCAATGTTTGCTATAAATGCAATCACAGTTTAACAGCATTTTGAAATGAAGGATCTGCAAACCCAAAGCAGGCCTAGAGCTCTTTTCTGTGTCCAGGTTTCTTCCTGTCATGGGACAATAAATGTGTATCAAAGTCAAGGCATAACCTCTGCTAATTCTTCAGTATAACCTTTTCACATCACTTGGCAACTGCCCATTTAACTGAAAACTGTTTTAGGAATATGCTAACAAGGAGATTTAAAGGTCTTCTTTATAAGATCAACATATCTCTTCCCCATATAAACTCTGAGGATAAGAGTAGCTAGTATATATAGAGCTGTAAATCCTTCTCAGTTTTTGAATTAAAATTTTAGCTTTATTAATGTAGCAATTTTTCCTCTTCAAAATATGACAGAAGTACTACAAAAAGTAAGATAATTTTATTTTGTTACAAAAAAATCTTTTGAGTTTTTCAGATGTTGTTTTAATTTCTTAAAAAGGAAATTGATTATGAGTAGTACTGTCAAAACCTTCTTTTTAAAATTTTTTCAATGCAGTTTTAAAATCAAAGATGTTTTCATGCAAAAATGTTGGCCAACTATAACAATGCAATGTTTGAATAGTATCTTTTTAAAAAAGAGCAATTTCATTCATGATGATCCGTCAGTCACTGCTATTCCTTGCTGCCTCTTGTTTTGCAGTGAGGCATAGGAAAGAGGACAATTAAAACTCAGCAGATAGTCTAGAATGATTCCTGTGTTTTATGCAGAGAGCTGCAGAAAAAAGAGAGTTTTGATTCTGCTAAGAAACATTTAGCTTGGATTGTATCAAGCGAGGTAACTTTAAGAACTAAAAACTAAACCTCTCAGGCTCTGCTGAAATGCTTTTTCCCTCCAATTTCCTTCACAAAAAAAAAAAAAAAAAAAAAAAAAAAAAAAAAAAAAAAAAAAAAAAAAAAAAAAAAAAAAAAAAAAAAGCCCATAAAATGAGTGGAGAGTTTGAGCCATGCACAAGTTCAGTGAAAAGATATTTTTCAGTTATAAGAACCAGCTTGTTGCCAATTTCCGTCAAAATAATTCCCCAGGTTAAATCCTGGTGCTATTGAAGTCATTGTCCAAATACCCATTGGCTGTGGGGGGAGATCAGGATTTGTCCCGTTCAATTCATTAGTGATGGTATGAACCCCAAGCAGTATTACGTTTCCTTTAAAGAAAGAGAAGCTCCTACTTACTGTTTATATACTAACGTTATTTCTCACACATTTATTGTGTTACTTTCCTTAATTTGGTGCCATGCTGGGTCCCTGTGGGATGCCACTCAAACATTATGTCAATGTTCTCAAAATTGAACTCTAGTGCTTTATTTTACAAATGGCTTCTAGCAGATGTGTGGCACACTTTATTAACTTAAGTACCCATTAGTTGAAAATTTCATTAGTTTGGGGGAAAGGGATCAGTTTCATCAATAGATCTGGTATGGGTGGACCCTTTGTGTCAACCTGACCCATATCAAAACGGATTATTGTTGTAAGTGAGACAAGTGACCTAATGTTCTGCCTATTATGCACACATGATCTATAACCTTTTAAAATACTAGTGTGGGAAAGGAGCACACTTCAGTGCGTCCCCAAACCATGGATTCCTAACAGGTGGCAGTCCCTCTCTTAGCAACGTTTGCCATGGGCTGTCTGCACCAGCATATGAATTATCAGGGGATACAGTTTCCAACCAGGTAACCAGGGGAAAACTGGGATAGAGAATGAAACCAGAATAATGAACGGCCAAGCAGAAGTTTTAATGAGTGCAGCTGGTGGACCTGGGTCTGTAGTGCCATCATCTGACTGACCAGTGCATTTCAGCTGAAGTGTTCCACGTGCTGCCTGGATCTGTCAGGCTAATAAAGCCCCAGAGGTAAGGCTGGATGTTGTTACAGCAGGAACATATGGTACATTTTACTCCACAGTTTTAATGTTTTGATGCTGTTTGTTCTTTGAATGATGGCAGCAGTAGTTTCCAATGCATTCCCTTGACCTTGTTTTGGAAATCATTTTAGGGCCAACTTGAAAGTCCATGCAATAATATTTGGTGGGACCACACACTGAAAGGTGCACAATATAACCTTTCGGCTGTTTTGTGCAACAGTTCTCACACCTGCCTTGAACTGATTGACCTTCTGAAGAGGAAAAAGTAAACCTGTCTGGAAGCGATGAATCATAGAATCATTGAGGTTGGAAAAGACCTTTAAGATCATTGAGGTCCAACCATGAATCTGACACTGCCAAGTCCACCACTAAACATGTCTCTAAGTGCCACATCTAAATGTCTTTTCAATACCTCCAGGGCTGGTGACTCAGCCAACTTCCCTGGGCAGTCTATTCCAGGGCTTGACAACCATTTCCATGAAGAAATCTTTTCCTAGTAGCCAAACTAAACATCCCCTGGTTCAACTTGAGGCCATTTCCCCTTGCCCATTGCTTGTTATTTGGGAGAAGAGACTGACCCCTTCCTGGCCACAATCTCCTTTCAGGGAGTTGCAGAGAGTAATAAGGTCTCCTGTGAGCCTCCTTTTCTCTAGGCTAAACACCCGCAGCTCCCTCAGCAGTTCCTTATCAGATTTGTACTTCAAACCCTTTGTCAGCTCCTGCACCTTTAGGATCTCCCTGTTTCAGAATATCCAAGTCT